CTTCTTCTGTCTTGCCAGATCTCATCCCGGCTGACTTCAAACGATTTAGCCAATTTTAACTAAATTTGACCAAAGGATAGGGTTTGCAAAGCTACTAATTGTTCCAGCTGTGGAAAAATTACTAGCTAGGTGGAGGGAAGCATGCCCCCAAGAAGGAAAACTTGTTTTTTTCACTTCAGTTGGCGGGTCAGGCCACACGCACGCACGTGATTCAGCTGGTTTACACATGCACAACTGCTAAAGTAATAGTGTCCAAAACCTATGGTGTCCCTGGGATGTGTGGACAGATCATATGTGGGCCTCCTAGACTCAGAAACCAAACTAAAATGTGCCATCACAATAGCCCTAAAATAGATACTCCCCATCTGCTTACTGCAGAGTTCTTGGAAACCTATAGAATCTGAAACTCAACATATTCCACAGGCTATTGTTATATCAGGCTGAACCTGGGTGCGATCCTGCAGGGCAATTTCTATTCTGACCTTGGGCACTACCAACAATGATGAAAGTCTGAATGTATCAGAAAGGGATAGATACACTATTACTCGACAAAGTCCTCCTGTTATTTTCCAGTATTTTCTCCATTCCTTCTGGGCAGAAAGGATGGGTGAACACCATGCAACCTTGAAAACAGGAAAATATAAATAACTGATATGGAAGATACTTAAGGGGCAATGCAGTCTCTCACAAAGTAGAGCTAATTTGCTAACAGATGACATATAAATTGTGCAGTGGATGTATGAATTTACTTTTAAATTCATACCTATGATTTTTTGTATCCTTATTACTTCTGTTGTACCATACTGTCAAAAAAATCAGTTCATTTTGTTTTGGTTTAATTGCTTTCGTTGCATAAAAGTGCTACGTTTAAAATACCATATTAACAAATTTATAATCACTACAGCTCCATTAAGAGTCTTTCTATAGAATGAATACTGTATTTGCTTCCACCTCACTTACTCATCTTCTGAGATAACTGGATGACAAGAAGGGCATTTCAGGTTTGTAGGACATTTCTTGTTTTAACTTCAACAGCATTGCTTCATTTTGGTAGTACTCAATATTTAATGGGTTGTGGGAAAAATACTATATCAGGAGAGAGCTTTCTGAATTAATTAAATCCTTCATACTGTATATACTCTATATTTGAGTCAAATTGTTTTTACATATGCATTACTCAGACTACTTTTATTCAGAACTTTTCAGAAATGTCCTTTGCAGTCTCATCTGTAAGAAGAATTTATGGAATATCATGGTGGTTGTCAGAATGAAAGGCTTCACTTTCTTAACTGGAAAGTTTAGCTGAAAAATGGTGACTACAGTGTATAGGAATAGTAATGGCTCTATCCAGTCTTCTTGTGGTTTATAGGATAGTAACATGCACACTGAAGATGCTCTACAGATTGGCAACATACTTCTTGTCTTTTAACAATACGGCAGCAATGATAGTATGAACATCTCACACTCAGTTCATTGTACTTGATACATCATTTATTTGCCAGATCTGAAACTTTAAGTTGTAATGATTAACAGTCTATTAAAGTCTTAAAGATCCTGTATTACATAAAATTATATTCCCCCAGCCCCAATGTTTATGTATATAAATAAAACAATAAAATCTCCATATCTGACTCATGAGGTTCTGACTCATTTTTATAATGAGGGTCTGACTCATTTTTTAAAAATCTTGGCCAAATGAGAACAAAATTCCCTCACAAAGATGATTCATTTACTGTTTAGAAGGTATATGAAAGTGGCCATTAGGGGGTGATGTTCCTAAAACAGAACTACCCCAAATGAATAAAACAGTTTCTGTGCATGATTTTTCTCCTATTTTCATCATGGTACATGAGTTTTATCTTCAGCATATTCATTTGAATCATCCTCATCAATGCCAATGTAAGAACAGAACTTGGCTCTGTACAGCTTAACGTAATGAGAAGTAAAAAGAAAAGACATATTAGGAAAAGGAAATGAATAGACGTTATTTTGCATAAAGTCTGCACGAAGTTAAAAGCTAAACCAGGAAGGAAGTTGCCACCACTATGCTAGATGGGAGTGCTTCAGTGACATGTGCTTGCTTTTGAGAAAATCAGAACTCTTCAGATTAGTACTAGGAATAATTACCATGTTTATTTTATGTTTACCTGAATTTTTCAAAATCCATGAAGGTGAGTGATCAGCTTTTAAAATAGCCTTTTATTTATTCTAAAGTCTGATTGCAATTGAAAGGTTGGCACGTACTTTCCTAAAAGCGATGGTTAGGATGCTGTACTCATATGGACTTTGCAAAGCATATAGATCTTTTTCATTAGATTTTTAACCAACAGAGTTGGTTATGTGCGGTAATTTGGAAGGCGTTTGTCATTCATTTACATACACTGAAAAATTTTTGGTAACTATTTCCATGCATCATGAAGAGAGGAGTTAAAATATGTATGTTCTTTTATAGCAGGTACTCATGTCTTAAAAAATAACTTTTTTTAAGTTTCTATACTGAAATGCCTATAAAACTTTGTACAATTGCTATCTGGTATGAGATACTGTCTGTGAAAGAGATATGCAGTGGTAACCGGACAAAAAGTAGAGTGGAATAGGTGTAACTGAGTGAAGCAAATCTTTTAACATAAATCCCAAATACATCTTGGTGATCCTAAAGGTCAATACTGGATTTAGGATGAATGCAAAACATATGTGTGGAAGTTACACATTCAGTGCTGTCTTAAAAATCCATAAATAAATTAATATTAAAATAGTTTTGTCACATCCATTCCTAAGTAAGTTTTGAATAGATAAATGTTATAATAAGAAGCATCCCTTTGACAAATGGTGTGTGTTCCCAGGCATCATGAAATAAATGATTTATGAAGAATAATTTTCTGGAAAAAAATTAATATCAAAATATATCCAGATTAGGTTACTTATATTTACATTTCTATTTTCATTAACCACAAAGAAGAAACATGACAGTAACTAGAATATAATTTAAAGATTTTTATAGTTTATGAACGAACAAACTTGGTGAGCTGTCATAAGTTTTGAATATCATAAAATTGATAAGTCAGTTTAAGAAGTTGGAATAATTAATGTTTTACTTCCATGAAGAAGTAATCGAAGTATTTGCTAGCACAGACTATGCAAATAAACAATGACATGACTATTATCAGAAGAAAACATTGACCTTACTGTCAAACATCAGAGTGAATAATTTCATTTTAATGGAATTGGATTTTCTATGGAAAAACACCCTGTAAATAGAGGCTTAATAAAGGAATTTCATAATCACAGAACTTTCTAACATTAAGCATGTGGGTTACAGATCTTTGAATATACAGCAGTTTCCTAGAGATACTTTGCGTGGTTTCATCCCAGTGATCCTCGTCACTCTTCAGGCTGTCTGCATTCAGATTTCTCAAAACCCTTTCCACATTTCTAGTGATGTTTACATTTGGGACGGTGCTTCCCAGTCCTGCAGAAAGGAGCAAGCCTCTTGTGGGTACGGCTCCCTCTCTGCCATGTAATCCACTGGGAAAGTCTAGTCTTTTTGCAGCCCTACTTACAGTGTTCAACGATATATATCCCTCCCTAGAAAGTCCACAGTCCTGTGAGTTGGAAGAAAATAAAGTTTACTGATGCTAGATCGTAATTTGAATGGCTTTCTCAGTAGAGATCTTTCAAGAGGATGGTAAGCACCCTCCCTAACGGGACAGCATTCAAACTTTCTCCACTCAGGTAACAGGCCTTTTACATATCTACAGCATGGCTCACAGGCAGCTCTGGAGCCTGTTTAGCCATGTGTGAAATCCAAAATGGACTTCATAGTGCTGTATGTAGACTGCTGTCACAGCACAGTCAGTGGATTCCCAAGTCTGCGTACAAATTTCTTGGTGAAAGAGGTATGGTAGGGAGTTATCATTAGTTGACCTTGAGAGCTGTAGCAGTGGGTTTAGACTGGTTGCCCAGATGCACACACGCCTTGCCATGAGAGCAGAATAAGCATTCAATTTCTGCTCCTGGCTCATCTCCACAGAGAAGCTCTGCACAAAACGCCTCCTTCAGCTGGAAGAATTTGACCTCAGAAGCCTGCTCCACTCCAGGTTGTGTGGGTCAGATCATAAGCTTTTTGAGGAAAATGTTTTGACTTGCCTCACGGAAAGATCACGCCCTAAATTTTGTCTGACATTTTTCCTTTTTGTATTAAAATGAATTAGTTTCTTACCTGCATAGGACGTGTATTTTACATTTCAATTTATTATGTTTTATAAGGAGTTCATGACTCTCTGATGTAGTGTTAGTAAAGTGAAGATAATTGACTTTGGCGTTGGATTTTGGATTTTATTTCTGCATCCTGTCTGAAATCCTTCACTGGCCTGTTTCTGAGGTCAGCCTGCTGCGATGTGAGCACAGGTGGCCTGTTGAATCTGTCAGATTGTGGCTGAGCACTGGAGCAATTAAAGGCTATGTTTTCTATTGGAATTGGAAGCTCTGCTACAAAACTATAAGTTAGTGCTGCATAAACTCCGGGAAGTGGTTATTTGTATTCATAAATATGTATTTCATGTTAGGGTTCCAGAAGTTTTTTATTCTTAATTTTTTTTTCATGTTGAAAAAATAGTTTTCGAAGTTAACTCGAGGAAAAATGCACAATTTGTACAATAAAGCCCTACTTTAATGTAGAAGACAGCTAAAATAACACTCATTAATAATTAATTCTATGTGGTTTTTGCTACTTGCCAGATCTGCATTAATGTACTCTAGCTACAGTAATTTGATACTGAAATTTGACTATGAATACCAAAACCAATGGTCACAATTAAGATTCGTGTTTGTTGACTGAATGTAAGAGAACGTGAAGGGTGTGGCCAGAGGTTTTAGCAGTGTTTCTGTGTATTTTCACTGTGTGGTTTCCATGTCATTGGAAAGAAAGTTTTTGTTCTGATTATAGCTATTTTACAACATAATTGCACTGGTGCGTTGCAACTGCATGGTTCCAGGGCTAAGTTCCCCCTCCAAACATGAGTGCTTTCATCTTCTTTTCAAGTACAATCAAATTGGAGCAGCTTTGAAACAGGGATGTGACTAGATACCACCACAAATTCAAGTTAGTATTACAAGAGATTTCATACAATTCAGCAATAAAATCCAGCATTGAGGTTGTGGGAAGACTCTGTGCTTGCTTTCTCTCACTTGTTGATGCATTCAATATGCTGTCATAATCCTCAAGAAAGAAAGTGCATTTCATTGTAAGGTACTTGATGCTTCCATGCACGTATTTGTCCATGTGTCCTGTATGACTGTCTTGCTAATATAGTACTCTTTTTTTTTTTCACAGTTAACACTGTAATTGTGTCATGCGTGAATACATGTTCATCAAATAACACCACTTTTCCACTTTGTACTTTTAACAACTCTTGCAAAAGATCACTGCAACAAGGAAGAGAAAACCAGACTCTTTTACTGAAGGCCATTGTAAACCATTCCAATTTCCAAAATATTTCATGTATTTGCCAGTCCTCCAGGAGGGAACAACAGTCCCATACTAAATATACAGAGTGTGAATTCAAGAGAGATGTGAATGTTGATCATCAAGGATCAGGGTCAGTAGTGGAAAAAAGTAAGTAAGGGAAGAGAAATACTTAATTTTGAAGTAGTTAATTACAACATAAAAGACGTTTTCATTTGGTAGTTAAAAGAAAATTATAATATCCGGCTGGTTCTCTGTGGTCTTTGAAAATCTATGAACAATGGGGTTTTTTAGCTTGTCTTTGCATGGCTAGAAAATGCAAGTTTTATGCCAGATTCTCAGCGGCGTACATTCCTGGCTGTCAGTGAACATGTCGGTAGCAAAATGCCGATTTCTCTTCTTTGAGGATCTTGTATAAAATCAGAGGGGGAATGGGAGTGGTTGTGTGTGTCATTATCTTCAGGGGGCTTTGTATTGGTCTGGAAGGAGGGTGCTGTGAGAAAAGAGTGCCTTATCCAGCAGCCACCTATAATATTTTTGTTGCAGATTTCACCTCTGCCAGCCAGCTTTTATGAACACTCTTATATCCTCGAATTTATTATTTTAATCTTGCTAAATTTTCTAAAATATTTCATTTATTTTTAAGGAGATGTCATTTCTGATCAGTTTTCACGCTGAATTTGCTTTTAAATGTCATTGCGGAACTCTGCATGTTGATTGCTGATACTATGTGAAGATAGGTTGTGAGCAAGTATCTGAAGAACTAAATCAAAGATGGTAACTATTCAGATGGCAGCTATACAAGAAATAACCATTTTTGTGCTTGTAGTCTATGATATCCACAACCGTGTAGTATCAGAAATGGCCTTGCGTGTTTCACAGAAGGCAGCACTGAATAAGGACTGGCACAGCAATACAGAGAAGAGTTCAGCAACATCCACATCTTTTCAGAGCTGTAGCAGTGTATTCCTTCTGTGCCACATACTCTTGCAAAGTATCTGGAAACTTTTGGGAAAGAGGATGCCTCTGAATTTTGCTTTCCTAACATTGTCAGCAACAGGGGCAACAGGCCAAGTCCTGAACGTTAAGAAATGAAGTTCTTCTCCAAATGCATCGTTTCCTTATTACAAAATAGCTGTCTTAACAAGTATGGAAAATAACAAAACAAAAAATATGTGGACAAACTCTGTTGTCAGTTATACCTGTACAACTCTACTTTTGACAACGTCTCACCTACCTGTGTTTCTTGTTAACATTGTGCAAGCCTCACAGCTTGTGTGGTTTGAAGTGAAACAAGGACCTTCTGCAACTGGTAGCAGATAGACTAGATGTACACTTCAAATCTCTATCATCGTATGGCTTTTACTTGGTTTTTATTTTTTTCATAGCCTGATTTTTGTCTCTGTTACCTTTGATAACAGACAACAAAACAACAAAAACTGAAAAGCTCTAAAGCTGGTGGTAAAGCAAAAAAGGGACTATAATTTGCAGGGGAAATAGATTTTGCATAGATAATGAATGCTCTTCAGATCTGTTCAGAATAACTTCACATGGTATCCTTTTGTCCATTTTATTATAGTCGATAATGTAAAAGCCTACTGTATGTTTTTGCAAATGAGACAGAGAACTTACTTTATTGTTCTTTCTGAAAGTTGTCTCTTTGTCTACCAGATGTTATATAACAGTTTTGTTTTAATGTTTAGTTCCAGAAGCAAAAGGCTCACTTGAAGTGAAAACAAAAGATGTTATTTATTTTTATAAATACTTTAATTTCACTACGGTTTCCGAGAAAGAAGAAGTAGAGCATAATACTTACTACCTGCTGGAAATCCACATCAACAATTCTATAGTCGGAGGAAGAAACGCAGCTGAAGAATACCTAAATCATTCCTGTATAGTGGCAATGATGGAAGACCAAAATGACTGTATAAATATTTCACTGCAACTGAAGTCTTATGTGGAATGTAAGTTACAAAGGAGAGTCAGAATGGAAATCAAACCAGAAACAATATGAATCTTGCAAAAAATCTCCAGTAGGCAGTTCTTTGCTTTCAGCAACCATTTGAAAGTATTTAAGTATTTCACAAGAAAAGAATACAATTTTGATCACCCCTGAGTAAAAGGCCACCTTTAGTAGGCAACTGGCAGTTTTTATAGTGATTTAAAGCAGGTTTAGCTGTGGCTTTTTCTTTCCTAGAAGCATCACAGCAAAGTAAGTGTCTGTACATTTTTTTGCTTAGCAGTGACAGACTCACAAATTGCATGTATGACAAAAGCTGGAATTACTTTTTTCCTCTCCCCTCCCCCATAATGGCATAACCCTGTTGTCTTGGAGGTCAATTAAAAAATTCCTGTTAACTTCAGCAGCAGAAGAATCAGGAGACAGGTTTGACTTTTCTTAATGTCGTACTGCAATATCCTACTATACAGCCTTACTACAGTATACTTAAAAGAGAAATCTTCAGCTGAACTAGGCTTAGTTTTCCCAGAAGACAGCATGTCAGCTTTTTAAATTACTGTTTGTGCTGCAGGAGTTTTTTGGCCGATTGCCTGACCATGGTCAGGGCTTCCAGCGCGTCTATATGCAACGCTTGCCATCTGGGAATTGCTGAATTATTACATTCATTTAGTTTTGTATGGCAAATGCATTTTATGCTCTACCTTTGCTGCGAAAAAAAACGTGTTTTGGAGTTGGCTAAACCTATGTTAAATAAGTTCAGGTAAAATCCTAGAGAAGAGAGGGCAGCTTACTTTTTTATAAATAAGTAGGTCTAGCTGTGAGAGGAGTATCTGCTAACTTGTGTCAAAACTATGAGATAACCACCCTTCCCTAATGGTGATTTACCTGGGAAGTAGTTATCTCAAATTAACAATAAAAATTAACAACACATCTTTTTTCTATTTACTTCAAAACAAAGCTAGAGAGGTGCTCAGGGCTTTGACTAGGCAAGGTTGATACACAAGTCATTACAAGTCACTACAAGATGGGGTAGAGTACTCTGTTTGAAAGGAGCCTAAATGGCTGTATAAAAGATATTTTTAGTTCTGAATTAGGAGGGATGAGCTGTGCTTACCTCAAAGAGCCATGGGGTTATTGGCAGTTACCTCATGATTTGTCAGTGGAGAAGATACACGAGGGAAGTTGATGTAGGTCTAATTATACTATTCTAAGTCAAGGAAAGGAAAACAGTGGTTTGGCTATAGTCTGTAATTTGATTTTATATGAGTCATAGTAACATAGTTGGTTTTTAAAATAGTTATTTGACAATGCTAAGGTATGAATTAACATGCAGCTGCCAAAGAAGTTTGGAAGGTCTTTCAAACAACCAGGGAGGAACATTCCCCACGTCCTTTCTCTGTGGTATACAGTCCTAGCTTGTCCTAGTTACTGAACTAATTCCCTGAGGAATGTGGGTGCATTTCTGCAGCAGCTGTTGTCCGAAAGAGCAGCGTACCTCCTACAGCCAGTCCCACACTGATTCTCCCCCAAGGCAGCTTTGGTTAAAAGAACTCCCCAGAGGGGTCCTGTTGATGGCATTTCCTCAATTTTTGATAAGAAAATTTCTATATGTAGAATCTTACCTTCTCCCATGTATGAAGATAGACCAGGAGGTTGAGAATGCCAGTACAGGTCAGTGATGGACAGTGGACCAATTCCTTCTGTGCTCCATCCAAACAAAGAGGGGATATATATTACCCTTGTTCTACCTTAAATATAAATGTTGATCTTCGAAGCATTTTCTTCCTGGCTGAGTTGCATGTAACAGTTTATACAAATAGGAAGAGTTTTCATTCACTTAGCTATGTATAACTATTTCCGACATGGGGAGATAGATACAGGTGAAAATGAAGCTAAATTCTAGATAGAAAACTTAATTTCAAACAACAAAGAAGGCTGAAAGAAAAAGGCATAATCTTCTTTTTTGCTTGAAATATTCATGTGTGGGGATAGGCATCTTCCAAAACCTACCGAGATAGATTGTTCTGCTTTTTTCTGCCAGTGATTTCCTGCTTCATTTTATCTCTTCTGCATTTTATGGACAGATCCAATGTGTATGACGAAGATCATTTGGCTCACTATGATTCCAGTAGTTTTTGTGTTTACTGTTTCAATTGTCATCTACAAAATAGTCCAAGAAAATGAACAAAACTGTAAGTAACAAGTTAATCTGCATGAATTTAAATTTCTATGCAATGAAAAATGTATTAATTTACAATAACAAGCTGTTGATTATTAATGTGGTTCAGACACCAATATTTTAATTGTAATATGGTAAAAGCTTCTTATAGAGGGACTGAAATACTGAGGTGATTGATACTATCACCTCTCACCTCTCAATCGTGGATGCAAATCCAAGCTTGTTGATAGTGAATGAAATATGGTTTTTTTGACAGATGCTTGGTGGCCTGTGATCCTTAGTGGTATGGACTTCTGGTTTCAGACTGATTCCAGTAGATAAAACAATTACAGTTGAACCTTGTTGAAGGTCTTACGCAGAAATGCCAATGACCAATATAAGCAGATTGAAATATCCTTTCCTTCCTGAAGATGATTCATCTGGATCATGGTCAAGAAAAATTATAGGATAGATAACAGGAGATATGCACTCAGCTGTCTGTCCTGAAAACGGTTACCTGAATCCAGCGGTGGTGTAATCCCATACAGGTCAACCAAGCTGTGCCTTCTTAACCCCAGAGCTGAATTAAGCCCAGATAACATTTCTTCTCGTTGCTGTTATTTCAGCAAAGAAACTAGTGCTGTGATTTCTGAATCAGCACTATTTACTATTCCAAGTGATTAAAACTTTGCAATGAAAGAACTTGTCCTTAGTTCAGAGACTGAAACGATTGTTTCTACAGAATGCCTTCACCAGCCAAGACAGGCTCTTCCTATGCAATTCACCTGGGATTTCGCAGGCTGAAATCAGGATTTACAGTATTTCTTCTAGCAATATACAAGGAAGAAAGCAAGAATAAAAGTGTAGGAATACCCTGAGCAGGAGACTTTTGAGCAACCAAGATAAGGTCCTCTGCACAAAAACAATGCAGAAAATTGACCGCCTGTCAGCTGCTGGTCTTTGTTTTACATCCCAAGTCAGAGATAGGTGGTACAGGGAACACGCTCCCTTTCATCACTGTGGAAAAAGTGTTACTTAACCCGTTACCTGAGATAATAGCTCTTAGACGCTTTTAACAGCAATTTCCTGAGACTTCCTGCCAGTGTCAGCCCCGAGTGGGCAGAATGCCTCCAGAGAACCAGCATTTAGTTGCTATTACCATGCAGATGTCCATTCCCCTTGTAGTCCAGAGCTGCCGAATGGAGACCTTGGTCACAAGGGTAATAAAAAAATGATAAGCCATTCCATTTCCTGATCATTCTTACTGTAGCCACAGGCAGTTTTGTAATGAAAGAGCAATAGGAGTTTAGCTTTAGTCATAACTGAACAGAAGGAAGAAGAGTGCCCACACATGAAATGTTTCTGTGATTTTTTTGCATAGTGTAAATATTTTATGCATATATTTTTAATGAATAAGCAAAATAGTTGCTTAAAATGGCAAATCTGTGCCCCGCCCCAAATGATTAGAGAAACTCCTTACGAGATTATATTGGTTAAAATACATGATCTTTTACTTATTGCTAGGCCCAAATTCTGAGACCTGTTTTATGTACATAAAAATCCCACAAAGTGTAAATTAGGTCTTTATAAGTGGGCTATTAAATGCTCTAATTTAAAGGACTTTTATTTGTAATTTCAAAGCTACCTATAAATGTCGTATGATTTCCTATGCTTTGAGTCATAACATCCCATTTTTAATGCAGAACTATTAGTAGTGATGATTAATGTTTTACTGCCTTTATTCTTAAACATCAGTTTTCTATTAAATGCAGGTTTTTCAGAATTGCCATGGACACAAGCTGGAAGGAAATGATGCCCTTTTGAGGCTTCTAATTACTGATTTGTTTCTAGAATACATTTCTGTTAATAGAGGAATAGTGTTTTTATTAGTTAAATTTACAATATATAACATTAAAACCAACATCAATATGTTACTGACAAAAAGACAAACACATAAAAATCAGATTTAAGGGTTGACTTCCTTATGTGTATATATTACGATGCCACCTTTAATTGCAAGTCTACATACTGCTTTTTTCAGTGCTGCCCAAGGAACACAGCAGAATATTACTATGTGCCTAAAACAGCTGCTAAGAATTTTTACAGTTATAATTCAGTTAGTAGTTTTTCTCTTAAGTTGTGAGCACTACTGAAAGCTGTTAAGAAATACGGAATTATTCATTTCCTCTTGAGACCTTCCCAGACATTCTGCTAGGCAGACTTTGAGAATCTCTGAAACATTAATGAAGTTATTTCCATGAGTGCATAAAATAAAATTTCCAAATAAACTTGGTGGAGGTTACTACCGATCCATGACAAAGGAGCTAAATTAGAAATCAGTCCTTTTGCCTTTTCCCTTCCACTCTTGTCTTATGACCACTTCCAGAGCTTCCTTTGACATTAACTGTTACAGTGTGTGCTTAGGGCTTCAGCGCATTAGATCTCCACTGGCTATTCATAAAAAAATCATGACCTAAATAATGCTAATTTAATGGATTTCTTAAAGATGAAGTTTTCTAGTGTTCTCAAAAAAGATAAAAATCCATTCTGTTATGTAGAATTGGAGCGAGCCTGTCATCAGAAGCTGGCTGAGCCCTGAACTGCTGTCATTGTAGAACAGGCCTAACCATAACAATTGCACAATCAACTGCAATAACCCCACAAGGGCACAGTATTAAGAGAGCAGGAGAAGGATGGAAAGACTGAGGAGTTTATGAACTGGGTGCTGAGGACAGTCAGAGGTGTTCAACCCAGCTCTTTCTCTCTGGGTGGTGTAGAGCTTGCTCTCAAACTGTGCTTCCAAAGATGAACACCCCACACTTGCAAAGACTCTGTCAGCTTCCTAGGATGCCCGTACACTCCATCCTTGCTATTCCACTGTCAGCAGTGTGAGTCTGAACCTGTACCGGAACATGTACTTCTTTGATAACCTCCCAAAATTTGTTCAAGGTATACAGTGTAGAGGAGGGAAGGAATAATTTGAAAGGGGCAAACCTGAATGGGATTTCCAGAAAATTTCATTAAGGAAGACACAAAACATCTGGTCCTAGGATTTCCTCATCACCTTATTTCAAAACCTTCCTGTTTTATCATGGAAGGTGTTTAACAGTTTAAGAATAAGGTGTTTACCAGCTTTCCATCTAATCAGTGCCATATGTAATTCTACAGTTGAGGATAATGCATTTTGTTTAAAACAGATTGTAAACACAGAGTAGCAGCAGTTTCTGCTATTCTAAGAAGAAAGCGTTCTAGACATGCAAGAAGAACCAGATCTGCTACTAAAATTCATCCTTTTCCTGGTAAGTAATATAAAAGTAAAATAAAAATCTAACAAATCTTGAGGCACGAGGAGGTCAAGAAAGACCTTTTAAGTCTTTCCTGTCAGAGGATGCTTCAGGTTTGTTTCAGAGTTACCTTCATCCTACACAAATTTGATCTGGCTGATGTCATGGAAACTTTTTTATATCATAAATAAATAATTCTGATGTTGAAACGATAAGAAGACTTACGTATATCATGTGGGAATGCTTCTCTCAGTCTTCCAAATATGTTGCATTAATGACTTTAGGTTTTTTACCTCCTTTTAATTTTTGATCATGTTGTGTGCCACATTTGAGGTTTGGCAGCGGAGTGCTTTGTGTGTGTATGAAAAGTATCCAGACGTGTACCCGTGTATGTATGCTCTATGTGTTTAAGACTCTTGACAAAATCTGCTACCAAAGGATGGAATGGATGGCTGTAGCAGGACTTGGAGAATGACTCTGCTGGCACTTCGTAGCCTATTTCTAGGGAAAAATTCCCACAAAATACAATTTTCTAGTGTCAGATAGGAATTAAAATGTGGTCTTCTGAGAGTGTAGTATGTTTAGCACAGATAAATTAAATGGCATAGCTAAACTCAAAGTTTTGGTTCCAGAAATTATGATTTGGCAACAAATCTCTGTGTGAGGGGAAATTAGCAGCTGTAGCTCTGAGTGTTACTGATATCGCTGGAAGAGTCACATGCTTTAATAAATTCTGGTTTCACGAAGGGAGCTCTATCTTTAAAAAGATTGACATGGACATATAGAATAATAGCTCTGAATGGCAAATCAACTTCCCTCCAAAACAAGAACAACTACAAAGCCAGCAAATGAAAAAAATTGTTTTAAATTTGGCTAGGCTTGGGTACCTCCCTGTTTGTTTTGTTGGTTCTTCAGGAGTACGAGGAGACTCAATAATTTCTCTCTACAACTCAGTAAC